CGGCTCCCCGCCGCCTGGGCTCTCCGCCGCGCCCAAGGGAACCGTCCCTGCCGCCCCCGGCTTCTCGCTTTTCGTCTGCGGGCAGCCCGCGGTGCCCGCAGCAGCCTGCCCCCAGCCCGGAGGGTGCCCCCCCAAGATGGCGGCTTCTCCCGGGGTCCCTCGCCTTGCGGTGTCGCCGGCCGCACAGCTTGGCCGGTGAAGGGGCTTCAAGGGGTCTGGCTGCCGGCAGGAGGAGGGCCAGCGGTGTCCAGCTGCGTGCTGCTGGCGTGTCAGGACCGTGCGTTGGGTGACGGTAGCCAAAAGTCGGGTCCTAGCCCTCAGGGGGGGCTGCTCAGCCGGGAGGGAAGGTGGCCTTGGGCTCCTTGCAGAAAAGCCCCGCGAGTTCGATGGCTGCAGGATGGTTTACAGCCTCTCTCCTCTTTGGTTTTTTAAGAGGACCCAGCAGGAGAGGCTCCGCTGCAAGGGGGGCTTTTTGGGGCCGTGGGGGGCTGAGCCCTGGGGCCCTGGCTGCATGGCAGCAGCAGTGGGGTGAATGAAGGAGCCCTGCATCCGGGGCAGAACAAGAGTGGTTTTTGGGGGGAAGTTTTGGAGAGGACAGGGCATGTGTGCGATACGGGGGGGCTCCTGCGGTTTCCCCTCTGACAGCACAAGGTGACTTTCAGAGCTGGGAGTGCCGGAGGCAAGAAACCTGCTGAGGGACTGGGTCATGAGGCTGTAGTAATAATGATGAGAATAGCCGTTATCTAATAAATGCAACATGCTTAATAATCCTATAGCTTTCAGTTCACCGTATCAGTAAGATGACTGCGTTGATACGCGGGCTTGCACAAGCGCTGCGTTGGACGGCATGCTGTGGTCCCCGAGCCTGGGACACCCCCGTGGGGTGCTGCTCCCCCCCACTGGAGAGCGGGGAGGGGGCCTGGTGGGTCTCCTGCGGCTGGCTTGTCAAACGTTCTTACTCTGAAGGTCGTCTAAGGTCCTTAAAATATACTGGCAACGTGCGGTGTGGCATAGCGGGTCCTTTTCAGCCAACAGAAAAATAAGATTACTTGGAATGGCTCTGTATTACCTCTCTTTTCTCTCTCTCTGTGCACACGTTTGGGGCTGCCTGTTAGCGCAGTTGCTCTGTGCCTCCCGTGACGGTGTCTTTGGATCTCTTTTGGGAGAGGAGCCGTGACGTGAGAAGCACGGTATGGGAGCCTGGGGGCAGAGGGTCCAGCCTGGGGCTTGAAAATGGAGCTCAGAGGGGCTGCAGAGTCTCTGCAAAGCTACTGTGGGGGCAGTGAGGGGCTGAAGAATGTTGGCTTCTGATCCCGTATGTGGGGCGCAGGGCCCTCGACCGAGGGAGAGGGTGAGCCCTTGCCACCATTCACAGGCAGTTACTAAGGGTGCGGGGAGACTGGCTTCGGGATCCTGATGCTCGACAGCTAAGCCATGGGGTGACGCAGGGGTGTTGGTGGCAAAGGTGGGGAAACTGAGGCAGGTTCATGGCAACTCCCAAGTAATGGTGAGAGGGTGAGGTCTGGATGCTGACGGGCCCCTGTGACTGAGCGTTTGGCCAGTCCAGGGCCAAGGACCAAGGCCTGAGCTTAGCTGGAGCTCCAGAATCCTGGGCAGAGGGGTGGGGGAAGACCTGGTGAGGCTCCTCAGGGCATCTAAGTGCCCTCAGAGCCCTGACACAGCGTATGGCCGTCCCCACTGGTGGGGATGATCTCGTGGCATCCAGGAGAGGCAGTGATCTGCTTGGTGCTGGAAGCATCTGGACAAAATGGGGCCAGTCACTGGTGCTCTCTCCTCTGGCTGCTTGTGTGTGCATATCCAGAGTGCTGGGAACTGGTACGGACCCTGCTACCCCAGAAATCAAGGTTATTTTCTGAAATAGTCAAGCCACACAGTGCACTTGCCGCCTCTCTTGGGGGCACCCGTTTCCATGGTGGGGAGGTGGCAGAAGTACTGGGGGGGGACCCCGGGGGTGTCTGTCCCCTACTCGAGGACTGTATACCCCCGACCCAGGGCTACCTACCCCCTTCTTGAGGAGCCATTTGTTGGCCACTGTTGCTAAGCCACACAGTTCGTCTGAGTCTTGGGCAGATTAAAGGGATATGGTGTGAGCGGCCATGGCAGCAGGGACCTATCGTCGCCTGCTGAATTCATCCCTCTGTGGGGACACGGGTGACAGCGCAGCCCGGGACTGCTGAGCCTAAGCTGTGCTGTTGCGTGGGCGAGCATGGGGATGGATAGTGGGGGAGTGGAGGAGCAGGATCCCACTGGAGCATCACATTGCTGCCAGCATGCCTGCGCATTAGCCAACAGCTGGGGTAGGTACTGAAGAAGTTCGAGTGGGTTTTATCAGATTTAGCCTTGAAAGGCCCGACCCTTCGCAGGCATAGCTTCAGGCAGGGGCACGGAGGGGCTCCTTCCATCCCCAGTGGGTTCGTGTGAATCCAGCGAGCAGGTAAAATTTCAAGCTCCCACATTGGTATTCAGAAGGGGGAGAAGCCCAAGAGCTGAGACGCACAAGGAAAGCACTGCCATTTCTCAGCCTGATAAGGAGGGACAAGCGATAAGGAGAAAAGGACTTTCCGATTGTTTCTGTCTTCTGCTCTGCGGAGGTGTGTTTTGTACTTTCCTTTCTGCTTCTCCAGGCTCCTGCTGGCTCTCTATCGACCACTGACACCGTGCCTTTCCCTGGACTCTGCTGAGCTCTCCTCATTTGCTCCCTTTTGGTGTCTGCTCAGAGTTGGTCATTTTTTCCCCTGCTCTCATTCCTCTAGCTGCCCTTTTGCCGAAGTAAAACCATCATTCCTTGTTTGCTCTGCCTCTTGTTTCCTGTGGCCATTTTTCACTCTGGCAGGTATATGATGCCATTTCTGCTGTAGTGATATGCTGATCATGTAAATAGGCAGAAAGAGGAAAAGCCCTACAAAGAGGAATGCAGCCAGTGCATTTGGAAGCAACCCTTGGTCATAAACATTTAGCTGTTTTCTTCTTGGCGCAGCAGCTTATGCCATCACTTTCATCTCAGCAAGAAGCAAGCATCCCTGTTCTCTGGCTGCGTATTATTTACAATTGTCAGACTTGTTACTGCCCCGAGAACTGTGCAGCGTGCAGCTATGAACCTGCAATAATTACTTGACCCAGCTTCAACATTCATTTGTCTAATGTTGCTGCGATCAGCGATTACAAGTTAAAGGATCAAGAAGTCATCATGTTCTAAGCTGGCTCTTGCTTTTCTCATGTGCCTCTTGCCAGGAGCCTCAAGCTTTAGAAGTGCTCCCGGCTCCCACTGCAGGAATGGTGCATCTCCGTTTCTGTTGCAACCAGCCTCTGCTCTGGGGGACACGGAAGACACCGCTTGGCTGAGATAAATTTAAGTCCTTGGGACTCTGTGTAAGTGCTGTTGCATCCCCTTGGTGATTCATAATAACAAGGACTGTTATGATGAACATCAACTGCCTGCTCCTGGCCATTCCCCTCTGCGCCCTGCCAGCCTGCAGGTGTGTTTGCTTTGTCTGCTGGAAATGCAGATTAGAAATCAGGATCAAGCCTGGAGATATCGACAGGAGCAAGATGCGGCGGTGGGCGATGCTGTTTGAGTCATATGTGGTGTGTTACCCCCCAAAAAAGATTGCAACACCACTGCGGTTCTGTTAAACCAATTGGAAAACCACAGTAATTTGTGACACAAGGGGCAGAGGTGGCTCACAGTGTCGGGACCTGCTCCCAATTTCCCCTCCAAGCTCCATCCCAGCCACCTCCTTTGGCTCATGGCACCCATCAGCTGCATTGTGTCTTGAGAAACAAGAATATGTGGAAAGAGAAGATGGGCAGATGTCACGAGGGCCACAAAGGACCATGAGTCAAGAGAGGAAAAGGGATGGAGAGCATGAGAGCCCCTAGTCCCCCCAGTTCCCTGGCAGGATGGAGGTAAGGGTTGGGGTAATGACCAGGACTTGCCCAGTGCTGGGAGCTGGAGGGAAGAATCAAGTGCAATTTTCTGGAGTTATCTTGGGGAAGGGAGGATCTTCATCGCAAACTGGGACAAAAGACCTGAACCTCAGCATTTCTCCATGGATATTCTGCAGTATTTCGTTTTGTGAAATCCCCGTGGGAGGAACCTGTTGGTGATGGTGACACCAAGGTGGAGGTGGGCAGCTGGAAGCAGGTCCCAGCCCACCCCATGGGACCTGTGGGGGATGCAGGGCTCCTGGGCAGCTGGGGGAGTGCTGCGTGGCAGGACACCATGGGCACAGAGGGCTGGGAATCCTGCTTGGGAGGCAGGGGCTGTTTCTTCCATTTTAACAACTAAGTATTTTCTTCTTGTTAATATTACCTTGATGACTAATAACCTAAACTTCACTTGCTTTGGTCAACAGTGGTTTCTTAGACCTCCACTGCTTTATATTTATGCATGTGTATGTGAAAACACGCGTCTGCTACAAAATTTTCTGCT